CATACTACAGGCGTACTGCACCCAAATCGCTCCTGTAAGGTGAAACCGCTGGAGTCGCGCTTGAATAAGTGCATCAAGTATACTTACTCGTACACTTCACTGGGCTCGTAGTTTGTCCTGCTGATTTCGATTATATTCTAAGGCGGCGGAGCACAGCGTTTTTTGTTGTGGACGAAAATAAGCACACTCGCAAAACACCGTACCAGCACGATTTCCGCGATGCGCTGTGAACTTCATAAGCAGTGCTCAGCCATCTCTTCCTCTTAAGCTGGTTGTTGTCGCATCAGATGACAGCGCAGTGGCACCCAGATAACATTTTATTCGCGGGCGCAGCGTGTACAGGTGCTTTTTCACATTTTGAAATCCCAGAGCCACAGTATGCCAAGCTAGTGAACCGTGCCTTGGCCGTTCCAAACAAATTATGGCGTCTCTGGTAGCGAGAGTGCACCGCAAAAGGCGCCTGGGTGCGAGATATGCGTGCTCTCGTTTATAGCCTAAAGATATCTGAGAGGCAAAAAAAGCTTAACACTCTACTTCAACGTACATATGCTAATTATAAGACAAGAGATTTGTGTTCCTGGCAAAAACAAGCTATAAAGAAGTGTATTGATAAGGTCATCTCTACAGAAATGTACCTGGACATTCAGGCTTCTCCAGGAAACCTGTAACGCAAAGTCACACGTCGAGCACTATACGCCCTAAAAATTACCCACATTAAAATTGTATCTTTTCACTAGTAAAACAGCGGGTGATTGGAATCACTTTTGAGGCATATCCTCCACCTCAGAAGTTTTTCATGTCCACTTTCAAATGACTTAGACGACGGTAAAGTGAAATAAATTTTCATTCCTATATACACTCTATGTCACTCAATTTACATTATATAGGACAACCATCGGCTCTCGTGTGGCATTATGTTATTCACAAATACGAAACCCACTCGTCACGATTCACCTTGTTGAGATTCGTGATTTCTTTCTCTGGCTGTCCGTCTGCCATGTATCAGCATTTTTTTAGAAAAAATATACAAAGATCACATCTTATACCGATAGACATGTACCCTTTCCTAAACTGTTTAATTACTTTAACTAAGGCGTCTATGAAATGCAGATAATAAATCCAGCTTCCTAATTGCATGAATTAAGAATGTGTGCAGCTTCTAGGCTAACACCTGTAATGCTAACGGAGGGCATATCTTTGAAATATTTTATGCACGGTGGTTGATAATTGAAAGAAAAAACCACGTGTTAGATGCTGTAATTAATCAAGAACATTTCAGCTGAATACGTTGAGAATATCTTTACACTCACATTTAGCGCATTCAACTTTCTTTCTTTAATCAAACCTGGGACTGTTGGTGTCAATTCGGGGTTTAAAGTCGATACTCAGGCCTCTTGTCGACAATAACTCGAAAGATGTCCGAAGTTTTTACAGCCTTCCGTATTAAAATTTTGGCTACCTCCGAAAGACACAATAGTACGGAACACCGCGGCTGTCAGGGTATATTAGCGCCTCCATGGAAAACAGTATAGTACCATTTTAAGTTAATAATAGGTGCACAAATCGTACAACGGCTTGAACAAGGGGCGAGGCAATTGAAGGAGCGGAGTGGGGTGACGTTTGTAGCACTATAGCAGAAGCGGCCGCTTCAAGTTCATGTCTGACGAGTCGAGTTAAGCCATCACAGGTGTCGGATGAACGATATGGGTCGAGGCACGATGACGTCAGTGCTGTATTCGAAAAGCGCTGGAACTTATGGGAGATGCGCTTGTTTTTATGCCATGTTCGAGCCGGCGGCATTCTTGGTTTATGACATCAACAGAAGACACATCATTGAAGAGCAATATGTTAAATGCATCGTCGGCTATACCTTTAAAATATGCACAACTTTGTCAGGCTCGGAAATGTTTTCACCAGCTTGGTGGCATATCGCGAGAGCAGCCTGAGTTTAACTGATGTAGGACTCCGTGGAAGTTTGTGCACGAGTCGACAATTCATTCTTCCCAGCTTGTCAACGACCAAAGGGGTTCCAAAAAAAGCTCACAGATCTTTTCCATGAAGCTGTCCCAGCTCGTTAATGTGATGTTCGTGTTTTTTGAACCAGACACAAAGGGTTCCGTCGAGATAAAAGATGATGTTCGCGAGCATAAGCGTGGGATGTCACCTCTAAGTGGCGCGGACGGGATCCACACTATGAAGAGGAGGACAACAGTGGACAGACTGCCGCGAGTCGAATAATGCGCTTGCTAATCTGTGTGACTGGAACTGCTCCTCTTCATCGTGTGGATCGCTACACCACTCGTGCATAGGAATATGGTTGTTTTGGGACAATAATGCCCATATATCAATCAATCAATCAATCAGGAGTTCCAATCACAATGCGAAAGCGCGCGATGAAGGAGGATAAACTATAAATAATCTCCGCTGAATGGAACCATGTGTATATGCGAGTAAGCGGACGCTAACGCTTACGCTGGCGCTGGCGTTGACGCTGGTGCTCATTGCGGCGTGGCACAGGAGAGAAACCTGGGGAGGTGAGAGGCACACAGTGATGAACCTGTTTTTCTTGCTGGAAAATGTCAATCGCTGTTAATGAAAAATGAGAGACGGAAGAGGGTGAGTGGACACAGAGACCAGCAGTTTATTTTAGTTAACGCGCAAGCTGGGAGTTTTTATAGTTCAACAACGAACAGCAGAATTCTCCCACCGGCACTATACCATGGAGGTCAAGATCCAGTGTCTACATACATGGCGTGGACAGTGAGTGGCTGTGCAGCGCGAACGGGCGGCTATTTGTATCAAGAAAGAGTTTTACGCTCTCCAACGGTACCTAGTCATAAATTTTCTCACTAATTTCTAAAAGAAAGTGTGGCACTACCACGTCCAAGTGAATTTCTTAAGGGGCGATGTTGGAGCGCTGGGAATGATGGCATATGCGTCTGCGAGGCTTGTGTTGGCTGGTGTTGAGCGAGGCTTCGGTTCAAAAGTGAATACGACTGCGTTAATAAAGCTTCTCTAGAACAAAACGTTTCTAAGCGGATTTCATTCACACATATTATATTCTAACATAAAAGTCCACTCACCTTGACGGCACAACCAAACGGCGAAGGAATGGCAAAGACGACATAAACGTCGCGGAAATTACGTTCCCTTTGTCGTCTGCCTGCCAAGTTCAGGGGCCGTTCATTACTTCTTACGCTTTTACATCGACACAGTGGTCCTAGTGTTAAATACAACACGTTTCTGTGCAATGATAGAAATAAACAGCTTATCACGTGCTCTTTTAGTAAGAAATCAATAATTTTACCGTGAAGCCAGACGCGTCTTCGAGGTACACAAATCCAAGTCAAGTTCGAAGCTCACGTAACCGTCCTTCTTTTGCATTCAGCAGCTCACTAGCGCCAGATTTCCTGTACGTATGATTGTGAGAAACTCTATGTACTCAGCACTGAAATCGTCGACAACTTTTAGGGGCGAAGCTCCTTAAAGCTGCACCCGTTCGTCCCTCGTCGTAGTACATGTCTTACGCTTTGACCTGCAAGGTGGTGGCGGTAGGATATTTCTCCTGTGCGTTGTTGAACAATGAAAAATTCGCAGCGTGCGCGTTAACTAAAAGCCGAATTCGCCTGTCTCTCATTCCCCATTAGCAGCCATTGGCATGTACATTGAGCACTATCTGACACGAAAAGGTTGCTACGTTATACTCACTGGGCGTAACCTCCTTGGTTTTAGAAAGGTTTAGCGAGCGTTGGACCGCAGTGCCATGAATACAGTATACTGTGAACTCGAGATGGTTTAATGTGGGAAGTAGACCCGAAGTGCAAGCCGCAAGAAAGTGTGCGTGTGCCACTTCTCATTTAGTCCTTGGAATGTCCACTGGACGGCGGTGCGTCTATATGCGAAATATTGTACCGGCCTTTTAGCTTCATCTGTTATTATTCGGTGTTTAACAACCTGGGTCCGCCGTACTTTTGACGATGTAGAGAAACATCCGGTGAAGTCTCTTAGGAGGTCTTGAATGATTTTTTTCTCGGCTGGGGATAGATTTTGGCTGATCGCAACTCTTGCTACGACATCGGGCGCAGGTTCCGAAGTAGGTGGCCCTGACACCAGACCACATAGGTCCGTCACTGTTTGAAAACCGTGCAAGAAGGCGATAGCAGTGTCCTTTGCAACGTGCTGAATTTCGTTTCCGAAATTCGTGAGCATTACATCGGCACATCCACCACGTAATTGAATAATGCCTCGAGCTACACAAATGCCTTTCTTGAGCAGTAGGTCGATGTTTGCATCCGCTATACCTTCAGAATCAACGAATGCTTCATTTATGACACCGACTAATACGCTGCATCGTGGCGGCACGGTAACATCACAATCTATAACACGTAATGCATTGTATTCTGGCTCATTTGTGTCTATGACTCGTTTGGTCGAAAAAGAGACACTAGAATTCTGCAGGTAGATTACAGCTCCGTTTGCTAGCAGAAAATCCATTCCGAGTATCAAATCTCTAGAGCATTCCGGAAGTACGACAAAGTCAGCAACGTAAGTAGCGCCTTGAATTCCGATTCGTGCGGTACATCTCCCCACAGGTGTGATGAGATGACCCCCAGCCGTGCGTATCTGGGGTCCACTCCAAGGCGTCAGGACTTTCTTTAAATCCTTTGCGGCAGCGTAACTGGCAACCGAATAATCAGCGCCTGTGTCAACTAAAACGGTAAATTCACACCCGTCTACGGTAACGCGTAAGTCTAAGAAATTTTGTTTTTACCTAACCTAGTTGTAGTGTTCCGCTCGTCGTTGCTGCACTGGGACCTTGACGGAGGATCTTCAGTTGGTCGGACATCAGCGGCCTTGCCTCCATAGGTCGCTGGCTTCAGTTTTCAGGATGGGGACTGCTTGAACGACGGTGTGTTGAGGTTGAAGGTGGAGAAGGTGAACTAAATCGTCGAGGACTTGGCGATCGATAGCGAGCAGGAGCTGATGCTGGAAACCGGCAGTTGGAAACAGATGGCCGGACAAGTAATCTTCAATTTCAACGGGTCTTTCGCCATTTCGGGGGCATGGCGCGTTTGGAGAAAACCTACGGAGACCAACTCGTCGATATGGGCACATTCTGTACAGGTGTCCAGCTTCGCCGCTGTGAAAACAAAGAGGCATCCTGTCGAGTATGTGCCACACGTCGCTTTTTCGGGGCTTCGAGTTAGCTGGATAGTTTGAGCCACGCGAAGCCGGTCGGTAGCCACTGTAAGCTGCAAACGAAGCAGTAAGCACGGCGGGCTGGCGCACGGCATCGGCGTAAGTAGGTACGGGGCGTTCCTGCAATTGCTGTTCAAGTCGAACAGGTTGCGCCTCGGGTTCGGCTTGAAGAATGGCGTGGCGAACTTCATCTCTGATCATGCTAGTCAGAGACGAAACTGGCGTTGCGACTTGTCGGGGCAGCAGCTTCTGGAGCTCTTCCTTCACAATCGATCGCACCATTTCCCTCAATGCTTCGCTGCAGCTCCCCAGGTTTCCTGAGAGGACATCCGCAGGAACACTACTCGTGTCATGATTGTAGTGACGGGAGCGCTGCTGCAATGTCCGCTCAATGGAGGTGGCTTCGTTGCGGAATTCAGCAACTGTACGAGATGGGTTGCGTACCAAACCGGCAAATAACTCCTGTTTGACACCTCGCATCAAGTGACGCAGCTTTTTCTCTTCGTTCATGTTCGGGTCAGCGCGCTTGAAAAGGCGGGACATGTCCTCAATATACATGCCAACGCTTTCGTTCGTGCGCTGGTTTTTGGACTGTAGAGCGTTCTCCGCCTTCTCCCGACGATCGGTGCTGGCATATGTAGCTACTATTTGTCGTCGGAATTCTTCCCATATCGGTATGAACGCTTCGTAGTTTTCATACCACGTCCTCGCTGCATCCTCCAATGCGAAGTACACGCGACGCAGTTTTCTTGCTTTGTCCCAGCCGTTGGTTTTCGCAACCCGCTCGAAGTGTTCTAACCAATCCTCCACATCCTCGAACGTATCACCGTTCAGGCAGGAAGGGCTCAGGCAAGCACGGTGGGGACAGAATAAGTTCCGATGGTGTCACCTGGTAAGCCATCGTTCCGTTGTCTGTGGACGCTGCTTGTGTTGCCGGAGCACTGGGGAGGGGTGCGAATTCAGGTGGCTCTCCTCGGAGGCGGCGGCTTGAATGCTGGTGTACCGCAGTCAATTCGCCAGGTTCCAATCGTTGAGGATCGGGGCTTCGCTCTCTTGCGCCAAGGAGGCTTCCAATCATACCCAGCACCTCCACCAAAATGTAACAGGTGCAAGAGAGGAAAAGTCGAAAACTGCTTCATTATGGGCGAACTTGTGCCCTGAAAATTATGTGCGAAAAGATGGAAGAGTCCGCTACAGCGTTCCAAAAACAAAAACTGTTCCTCTGCCCCCGCACCTTCTTCTTCTTCGCAGCTCCAACCCACACTGGCTCATGCCTGTGAACAAGAGGCATGAGTCGTGCGGCCCCAAGCAAGAGTGCGCACAAGACTGTGGACACTAATTTTTCATAATGTCCGATATTGTAAACAGTCTCTGTGGCAATATATGATGAAAAAATGCGAGATGGTGGTACTTGGAGTGTGGAATAGATGGACGAATGGACACACAGACGGATGCATGGACAGACGCACGGATGGCTGCACGGACGGATGGACGCATGGACCGACGCAGGGGCGGATGCATGGACGAAGGCAGGGATGGACGCATGGATGGACGTGTGAATGCGCGAACAGACGCACGTGTGTATGGGTGGATGGACGCATGGACGGTCACACAGACAGACACATGGACGGACAGAAGCAAAACGAATGAACAAACGGATGCTTCGCCCCACTCTCCATCATTCACCCCGTGGATATGCTGCCATTTTTTTTTTCGAAACACTGCCTGCGTCGCCAGCAGACACTGCCTGCCTCGGCGTTGCGAGACACAGGGATGGGGATGCGTAAGAGAAGAGGGTAGAAAGTGCGTATGTGCAATGGAGGCGCAAAAGCCGCGCGTGAAAGGCCTGGAGAAGAGATAGGGTGAGCGAGCGTAGACTAGCAGCCACTGCTCTCGTTGGCGTTGCGAGGCGAGACAGAGGGGAACGTTGGAAAGGAGGGGAAGGGGTGTGCATGAGCAATGGGCATGTATATACAACAGGGACGGATGCCTAGAGGAGACAGAGTGAGAGCGACGTTGGCTTGGAGACGCTGCCTGCGTGGATATTGTGAGGCGTGAGATGAGGGAGCGTTGGAGACGAAAGAGGGGGAGGAACGCACGTGTGCAGTAGAGGTGTGTACGCCACACATCGGAATGAGCTCGACCTTCCGAAACTTCGCATCTGCAAATGCGGTCACATCGTTAAAAATGAACCGAAGTAGCAATTTGGGCTAGTCGGAATACAACAATCAAGATCAACGCACAAAAACGCATAAGAAACACAAACAAGTGCACGATGCAAGCACAGACTAAGAAGCGAAAGTTCAATGGGATAAACATGTTATACACATGCGAACATGGAGTCATAAAAAATCTTGATAACCCGTTGAAGGTTGCCAAGATATTTTATATCGTCATGTTGGTACGTATATGACACGTTCTTTTCCTTACACTTTCAGTTGTTAGACTGCGCTTTGGCCGTGCAGTTTCTTCGGGTTGGCAATATTTTTTTACGCTTTATTGTTTGCAAGTACATGACACGTTTTTTCCATTAAAATTTCACTTGTTAGACAGCGTTCTGTCGTGTATTTTTTGTGCTTTTTGTGCTTTTCGTGCACTGTTTGTGATGAATGAACCACTTTGCGTTCTCTAGTATGGGCTGCAAGGGTGGGGAAAGGGAAGAAGGCGTGGGGAGGAAAAAAATTCGGCAGATCCCATGTACCTGGGAATCGACTTTATGTGATGTATGCGGATGGAAGGTGACCTCGTGGCATTTTTTTTATTCAACAACATGTCATCAATGGACGCTAAACATATGTACAAATGTTGTACGTACGGAAATATGTTGAAGAGTTGCAGATATTCATATAACCAGTTGTTTCCACTTGCGTAACGATGCGAACTGGAACATGCGTATTAGCGACACCAGAAGCTCATATGAAGCTCTGATGCTCACGAGGATGCTGGCCCCGGGCACTGCTAAATAAATCAACTTAAGCGCAAGGCCACTAACCACAATTGAGGTTAACCCGACGTGACGGCTGTATCAAAGGATGTTTATAAAATTGTATAAAATGTGATGTTTATAAAATTGGGTAGGGAGTACTCCAGCCACTATTGACGTTTCACGAAGATTAGCGCCTATTAGAAAAGTGGTTCTAAGACCTGGCGTAGCTCTGTGGTAAAAATGCTTCATTGCCACGACAATGCTTGGGTTGGATATCAGCTGGGACTATGACATTTATTGTTTGCACTCGTCGGGCTGATGATAACGAGATCGCGTTTTATATAAACGCTCGCGCGTTATGATTGCTCATGTGTGCCCTCGTCACTCCTGGTTAGATCATAAGTGTCAATCACCTGTGGCGCATACTCATATAGCAGCGGCAGTATCCGCCCGCGGGTATGTGCCACTGTCTGGAGGGAAATGTTTTCAGACGTACGCGACAGAATTGTGACAGTATTCATGTCTTGACCCGCGCGTCATAGTCGTCAACCCATCTTACCCTCCTACGCTAATTTTGGTTAACGCCAAGATAAGTGGGTGAATACGAGAGCACCGAAACGTAAGCCGTTAGATAGATAGATAGATAGATAGATAGATAGATAGATAGATAGATAGATAGATAGATAGATAGATAGATAGATAGATAGATAGATAGATAGATAGATAGATAGATAGATAGATAGATAGATAGATAGATAGATAGATAGATAGATAGATAGATAGATAGATAGATAGATAGATACGTTCAAAGTCCCCGAAGTTCGCTGAGAAATGCTTCGCATTTAAAATGAGTGAGCCTGCGCCTTTTGCCTGTGCTGTGCTTTTTAAGAATTTATCTATCAATCAATCAATCAATCATTCAATATATATATATATATATATATATATATATATACATATATCTTTATCTGTCTGTCTGTCTGCCTCTATGTATGTATGTATGTATGTATGCATAGCCACCTACGACTTTTTGCTTTCCCGATCATATTGTTAGTGGGATGTGCAACAAAACCGGTATGACATAACATGACTGCATGACAAACATAAGTTACTAGTGATACCGTAAGTATCATCACTTACCTGCCATGAAAGACATCGTGTGCATGTTGTAGCCTTGGCGCTTTTGCAGCCCTTTCATCAGCTTCATACGAACCAAACTTGGTATGACGAGACATTTCTTCATGACCAGTATAAATTACGGGTGGTAGTAAAAAATCATGAAAATTATGTGCTGTACAGCACGACTTGCATGTCGCACAAATGTCACGCTGATGGCCATTTCGATAGCTTGAGATAACCAAATATTGTATTGTGCAACGTGACTGTATGATGAACATACATGACAAGATGTCATATGGAAATCAAGAAACGTTACGTACCACGTGATTTGCATGCCACGATCATGGTGCACTCGTGGCTCTTTGCCTATACTGTATGCCCCAATTGTCATACTGCGTGATGTGTCTGCATGAGGAACACAAACAACGAGTGCCACACAATTGCCACGTTCATGGCTGTGAGCGCGCCATGAATGTGGCATAAAAGTCAAGTTTAACATATGATCTTCAAGCCACGCTCATTATACGCCTGCAGCTGTTTCGCTCACTTTATATGTACCGAACTAAGCATTGTGTGGCTTAACTCTATAACGAACATAAATGACAAGTGGTATTATTAAAATCATGACACGTCATGTGTAAGATGACACGTCATGTGCAAGATGAATAGGCACCGAAATTGTTCTTCTGGGACGTTACTGCACGATGAGAATAAACGACAAGCGGTAATATGAGAATTACGACGCTAAAGTCATTTGTATCCTGACTTGCCTAACATGATCAT